TTTTAAAAAAATATTTATAATTAATAAATCATTACTCATACCAAAGTCTGTCATATAATCTTAGGCCTCATTTCTATCACCAAGGTCATGTCTTTCAGTTATCAATTTTCCCTCTGTTTTCAACTTTTACATTCCAATTGTTATTAATAAATCTTGATTGCATATTTGAAAAAAAAAATCACTTACAGGAAAGTAGGTTTCCACAATTTGAAAATCAAGAAATCCAATTATAATCCACACCAAGAGGGTAGCAATTGAAACAATAACAATAAAAGGAACAAAGTAGCCACTGAGTTTGTCTGCAAACTGCTGTATAGGGGCCTACAATGGAAAAAAAAATGTAAAAGGAAACTACAAAAACAAGAACAATATTTATGTTGAGAGGAATTTCAAGAAAGTATTTTCTATGGGCAATTAAGTTACCTTAGACATTTGTGCCTCCTCCACAAGTCTGACAATATGAGAAAGGGTTGTATCTGCTCCAACATGAGTTGCTCGGATAAGTAACGAACCATTCTGGTTAATGGAACCAGCAATTACTGTACTGCCAGATTTCTTAGCTACAGGCATTGCCTCCCCTGTAGGAGAAATAAAAGATAGATTTGGGGAGCATAAATTAACACTACCACAAACATACTAAAAAAATATTTAGAAAGGAGATTCTAATTTTATGAAACAGAATCTAGGCAAAAACAAAGGTGAAAGTTGCCTTATCTTTTTCGCAAACTCAGGGACTAACATCTTAAAATGGAAAAATTTAGTGTGTTTATTTTATTTTTAAATTTTTGTTTGAGTGAAAGTACATAGAACAAGTTGTTTTTCTGTTCAATATTTACTCTTATTTGGAGATATTTCAGGAGAGTCACCATAGGCCTATATCACTGGTTCTGAATCTATTTCCAAGGAAGGGAGTTTTTTATTATAATAATGTCTGAGGACATTACGAACATTTAGTAGGCCAGGGTCATGTTACTAAAAGTTCTGAAATGTGTAAGACAGTCCCAGAACTAAGAATTATCCCTACTAAGAAACACAGAATCCTAAATTAATTCTACATGATCCTCTTCTCGTAATTTCCTGAGGACTGGGGTAGGAATGGTATTCTTGTGATTGTATTTCTGATTGGCTTTAATTATCCAAGACTTTAAACTCCTACAAGCCTCTTCTCTTAGAAAGACCTAGAGAGGTACAGAGTCCTATCCAAGCTCAAACTAGGTAAATCTTTATTTTTAAAAATGATAATACTTAGAAAATTTATTTACTGAACTTTGTGGCTGATTTTATAGAAAATTATAGTTGTTGTTGTTGTTGTAATGTGCCGTGAGATGCTTGCGACTCATAGTGACCCTATGTACAATAGCCCTAAACTCTGCTCTGCCCTGTGCCAATTGCACTGTCTCTGACACTCCCATCCCAATTACCCCAGTCAGTGAATCAATCTACCTCATAGGGGGCCTTCATGTCCTGCAATGTCCCTCCACCTTCTCAAGCACGATGTCCTCCCAAGGACCGGTCTCTCCTTACAACATGTTCAAAGTATGTTAGACAGAGCCTCAGAATCCTTGCCTCCAAGGAGCCACCCGGTTTAACCCTTTCCAGGATGAATCTGTTTGTTTTCCTAACAGTCCATGGTACTCACAATACTCTTCTCCAGCACCACAGCTCAAAGGCATCAATTCTCCTTCTATCCTCCTTGATCATTGTCCAACTCTCTGATGCATAACAAGTGATTGCAAAGAACATGGGCTGTATCAGACGCACCTTAGTATTCAGAGAGACACCATTGCTCTTCAGTACTTTGGAGAGGTCACTAATAGCAGACTTTCCCATGGCAATGTACCTTTTAATTTCCTGGCTACTGGTGCCAAGAGTGTTGACTGTGGAGGCAAGCAAACTAAAGCTGTGAACAATCTCAATCTCTTCACCATCCACCCTGATGCTGCCAATTGGTCCAGTGTGAGAATCTTTGTCTTCTTGACATTGAGCCTCAATCCATACTGGAGGCTCTAGGCCTTGACCCTCTGCAGCAAGCGCTTCAGGTCCTCCTCAGCTTTAGCAAGCAGGGTTGTGTCATCTGCAGAACACAGATTGTTGATAGATCTTCCACCCATCTTGACCCCATATTAATCCTCACAGATCCCAGCCTCCCGGATAATCTGTTCTGCATACAGGTTGAAAAGGTATGGAGATAGGACACATCCCTGGCTTACGCCTTTCCCAATTTTGAACCATGCAGTGTTCCCTTGCTCTGTTCTGACGAATGCCTCTTGGTCCAAGTATAGGTTTCGCATTAGAACGATCAAGTGTTCTGGGATTCCCATTCTTCTCAGAGTCAGCCACAGTTTGTTATGATCCACACAGTCAAATGCCTTTGCATAGTCGATGAAACACAGATATACATTCCTCTGATATTCCCTGCTTTCAGCTAAGATCCAGCTAACATAAGCTATAATATGCCTAGTACCACGACCCCTTCTAAACCCAGCCTGGACTTCTGG